TCTTGTAGAAATATTTTCTCTGCTTAGGTCTGGGTTTCCCTGCTCTCTTCCTGGCCACTCGCTCTCAGTCCCCTTCACAGGTTCTTTCTCAGAGCCTGACCTCTGGACCTCAGCGTGCCCTCTGTCCTCTGTCTGTAGACTGCTTTAATCTTCTCTAACCCCACAACTTTAAATTTCATTCATTCAGTGATTCCCAATCACACCTCTAGCTCAGACATCTTCTCAGAACTCTGTTCCGTGGATATCTTCTATTTAACATACAGCTCACACTTAACTTGTTCAAAATAAAATTCCTGATTTTTTTTCTCTACACAACCCCCAGCCTGTTCCTCTTATAGGCTCCCGTGTCTCAGTAAGTGGATAATTCAATCTTAGTGTTCTTGGAGTCTTCCTTCTTTCATCTTCTGTTTTCACACTCCAATGCATGAGTCTTTCTTAAATATACCCAATATCTAATGACTTCTTATCCACTTCGCAGCTACCACTCTAGTGAAGGCTGCTATCATTCATCTCCTGCTTCTACTCTTGCTCACTGCATTCTATTCATCATCTCAGCCCAACCGACTCTCGCACAACTTGAGTCAAATCACATCAGTCCTGTGTCCAACCCCCCAGTGAGGTCTTACATCTCTCTGTGCAATAATACAAAGGTCTGAAAGGCCCTCACAAGATCTTCAACACCTCCCACCTCCAGCTCACCAGTTCCTAGCTACACTGGCCTCCTGGCTGTCCCAGAAACATATCTACCTAGGAGTTTCTACCCCAGGACCTTTGCACTTGCTGTTCTTCTGGCTTGGAATGCCTTTCTAGGTACTTGCATACCCTGTGCACTCACTTTATTCAAGTCTCTGTGTTAAATAAGACCTTACTATTGTGGGGCCTTTCTTGGCTGCCTTACTTATAATAACACCATACCTCTGTGCTCCAAACTCATCTTACAGGATTTCTTTTTTCCCCATTGTATTCCCTCCCCATTGGTATGATGCATTTAACTTGCTACTTGCCAGTTCATTTTCTCCAACGGAACGTAACCTCCAGTAGGGCAGAAGCCATGCCACTCCTGTTAACTAGTATATCGCCAGCACGTAGAATAGTCTTTTTGGACACATAGTAAGATCCCTGCATGATGCACATGCTTAAGCACTTGCTTACTAACCAAGAGGTTAGTAGGTTGAATCAAGAGGCACCTCAGAAAATGATGTGGCTATCTGCTTCTGAAAGGGCATAACCACAAAAATGTAAACATAGTCTGCTCTGCACACACAACTTCAACATGAGTCAGAATCAACTTGATGGCAGCTGTTTTTTTTTTTTTTTTTCTTCCTGGTGAAGGTACTCAACAGAGATTTATAAACTAGAAGACTGAATGAAATATGCATATCATATCACTATAACCATAGTTGACTCCTTAGAGCCACCCAAACTTTCTTCCAACCTCAGGTCCAGGAGAGGGATAGAGAGATAGCTCCTTAGTCTCACCTTGATGCTCCCAGGCAAGGTCTTTGGGACCAGCAGCTTGGCAAACCCCTCAATGAGCACTGATGGAGATTGAGAGTGGAGACCACCCTGCCTGCATCTCTTGCGGCTCCAAATGCCAGGACCAAGGAAGCAATTATCAATCACCCTGCTCTCGTGCTATGGGGGAGCCTGCTTCCTGGATGTCATCCAGGCATCTAGTTCCCCATCACTCTGGGTGATGCAGTATGAGGAATCTGTCACTTGGCCTGCCAGCAGGCAAGGAAAGAGACCTGGCTGCCTCAGCTCCGTCTCTCTCCTTCTTTCCTCTCCGAGTCTGATGTCAGAACTGATTAAAAGCCATGAAGCCCAATCACTACCCTGAGGTTGATGACAGCACAGAGCCCCTGGCCAGGGCCAGGCAGCAGCTGTCATGTTCAGTAGTGATGGGCAGATGAAGCTGCTGTCCGGAACTGAAGACACGCAGATCGCTGGCAGAGTGACAGCTGGGAGACTGGCCCAGAGCTGAACTGTCTCCTGATGTCTTTCTTACCTGAGACATCCATGAGCAGTCTGGGAGCCAAGTCTGCCAACTGTAGGGTGATGTCCTAGACCATTTCTCTAGGATCCCACAGTCACTGAGTTCACCCCCTGCTTTTTTTTAAAAAAAATTGGGATTGTTAAGTGCCGTCGAGTTGGTTCCAACTAATAGCAATGCTGTCTGAGGAGCAGCTGGTGAGTTTGAACCACTGCCTTTGCAGTTCAAGCCAACCTTTCAGTCTAGTGCTTATCTTACATTGCCACACCAGTAAAATTCTCTCTTTTTATTGTATTGTTGTTACGTGCCGTCTAGTTGATTTCTGTGTAGGGTTTCTGAGGTTTTCAGTCTTCACAGGAGCAGAAAGCTTCATGTTTTTCCTGTGGAGCAGCTCACGGGCTCAAGCTGCAGACCTTGGGGTTCACAGTGCAGCACTGATTGTAGGGAGTTTTGGGTGTAAGCTGTGGGCGTTTTGACAAATGCACAGTCCTGTACCCGCCACCACAATCAACACATAACACACTTGCATCTAAAAGCAAATACAACCTGTTGACACTGAGTTAACTCCAACTCCTGGAGACTGTTTGTGCTACAGAGGAGAACTGCTCCATAGGGTTTCCTTGACTGGAATTTTACCGAAGCTAACTGCCAGGCTTCTCTTCTGAAGAACCAACGGGTGGTTTTAAACCGCCAACTTTTTAGGTTACTAGTCAAGCGCAAACTACTTGTACACCCAGGGACCTACAATTGCATCGCCTTCTCACATCTACAATACCCTTTTGTAAACAAACCCTCTTTCCACCTCTGGCTACTAGAAACCATGAATCTGTTTTCTGTTCCCATAGTTCCGCTCTCCCCAGAATGTCATATGAATGGAACAGTATAGTCTATAACTTTCTGAGTCTGGTTTCTTTCATTCAATGATTAGAAATCCATTATTCATTAGACATTCATCCATGTTGCATCTATCAGTCCCTTTCTATTGATGAATAGTATTCAGTACAGTGAATGTTTACCTTTCTATTCTTCATTTGAAGGGTATTAGGTTGCGACTGGTTTTTGACCATTAGCAATAAAGGAACTATAAACATGCACATGAAAGTTTTTGTGTGAACATTTATTTTTATTTCTCCTGGGTAAATGCCTGGGAGTGGGATTACTGTGTCTTATGGTAGATGCACTTTCTTGGAAGAAGTACAGCCAGAATCTTCCTTAGAGGCAAGAATGGTGAAACTTCATGTCTTGTTCTTTGGACATGTTGTCAGGAGGGACTAGTCTTTGGAGAAGGACGTCGTGCTTGGTATTGGAGGGTTGTTGAAAATGAGAAAGACTCTGCACAGATGTGGATTAACCTAGTCACCGTACAATGGGCTCAAACTTAGCAATGGTGAGGGTGGTATAGAATCAGTCAGTGTTTCATTCTGTTGTGCACTGGGTCAGAATGGACTTGATGACACCTACCAACAACATGATAAATAAATACTTACATTTTTAAGAAAGTGCCAAGCTGTTTTCCAAATTGGTCATACCATTTCCCACCAGCAGCATATGAGAGTCCCAGTTCTTCTGTGTCCTCTCCAACACCTGGTGTAGAGTCAGTCTTTTTAATTTTAGCCATTCTAATAGTCCTGGGGTGGCACTGTAGGATAAGCACTGGACCTTGTAAGGCCAGCAGATCAAACCCTATACAGGGTCATTATGAATCAGGACCAACTCAAGGGCACTTAACTGCAACGGATGTGTAGTGATACTCCAATTGTGGATTGAATTGACCTTTTCCTAATGACTAATGATGTTGAACATCTTTTTCTGGGCTTACTTTCTATTGATATATTTTCTTTGGTGAAATATCTGTTCAAGTCTTTTGCCTGCTTAAAAAGTGGGTTGTTTCTTTCTCATATTTTTTTTTTGGTTTTGAGAGGACATTATAGGACTGCGGTGATGATGAAATGAGTTAAAATATTATATGGTTGTTGTTGTTTTTGCTAAGTGCTATCAAGTCGGTTCTGACTCACAGCTAACTTTTTTGGGGTTTCCAAGGATCAGCCGGTAGGTTTGAACTGCTAACCACATGGTTCATAGTCTAGTGCTAATCCTACAGCACCACACCAGGAGTCCGAATATTAACTTAAGCCATAAGAATTTGCCGATTTTTAAAAAAATCTGTATAACAGATAATTTTACATAGTTCAACTTAATATCAAAATATTCCTTGTAGTGACAGGTAAAGGGTATGTACTCTGTGAACGGTAGCTGCTGCCGCCACCATCCTCATCATTATTACAAATGTGGCTGTGGCTATTATCCTGCTCTTAGTGTTTGTAGAGTGGAGAGTTGGAGAAAAGAGAGAGAAACCGTCTCCCCACCCCAATGAGATGGATTGGCACAGTGGCAGAAGCAGTGAGCTCAAGTGTAGCAAAAATTGTGAGGTTGGCGCAGGACAGGACAGTGTTTCATTCTGTTGTGCCTAGGGTCACTGTTCGTCAGTTCCAACTTGATGGTACCTAACAACAACAAAGTGTTGAAGGCAGTGGCACCTGAAGCTGCTGGTTCATGCTCCCTGAGTCTTCTGATCAGGCAGCCAATGCCCACCAAGCTTCTTGCTAAGTGTGCAAAGGGCAACATGGCCCAACTCTTGCTCTTGTGAAGCAAAGGTACCACCTGCTGTAATAGATGTGTGCAAAGTACGATGGAGGAAGCTTATTGCAAAGAAGTGGATTGGTAGGACTTCCAGATAAGGCCTACCTACTAGGATGATCAGGAGCTTGGGATGGAAGGACCTGCCAGGTACAAATTGAGCAGTGATTTTTGTGCTTTGTGGAATGGGGAACACGCAAGCCTCAGAGAGAAACTGAGGTCTGACTTTGAGTATGGGAATGGGAAGCAACCCATATGGTGGTCTAGAAAGGGTTCATCAATAACAGTGACCTTGTTCTTCCATAGGTGGCGCTAGTGTGCTGGACATTCTCAGGGACTCACGTCCAGAAGACTTCTCATCTATTCTATCATGGATGCAAAAACCATTATCATCGACCATGGGTCTGGCTACCTGAAGGCCGGTCTATCTGGTTATAATACACCCCAGATGGTTTTTCCGAGCATTGTGAACTATATACCATGCCGGGAGAACCCTGGCCCCAGTTATGCTCGGAGACGTGTGGATCTGGGCATAGACTTCAACCATCCTGATACTTATAGCTACCCCATAGAACGTGGCCGCGTGCTCAACTGGGAAGGCGTGGAATACATCTGGTCGATTATCTTGGAGAAATTCAGACAAGATCAAAAGGACTGCTCAGTGATGATGACAGAGAGCCCACAAATGGAGTCGTCAGATCGACAGAAGACCCTGGAGGTAAGTCCTTCTCTGGGCTGACCTTGTTGGGGCTGGGGAGGAGGCTGAATGAGCAGGGGACATTGTGTCCAGACATGACGGGCATCAGGAACTCTGCTTCTTAAAGCATCTGTCCAAACAATGTTTACTAGGTATGTCGTGTGTGCCCAGGTCTCCCAAGTGTTGTGTGGTCAACTGCTAACCTAAAGGTTGGTCGTTCAAACCACCCAGTAGTACTACAACAGAAAGTCCTTATGCTTTGCTTCTGTAAGATTACAGCCAAGAAAACCCTGTGGAGTAGTTCTACTCTATAGAATCAACTTGACAACCAGTTTTTGGTTAGTGTGTGGCCAGCACAGTGCTAGGCAAGAAGAGTCTGTAGGGGTCCCTTCTGCAGATGGAAATACAGCAATGAAAATACTCTGTGGGCAGGGCACAAGAGAGGAGATTCTGGGTATTCATTTGTGGAAGCCCCTAATGTTCACCTTCACAGAACTTACATTCTGCGGGGAAGACTCAGATCGTGAATAAGCCAGCAGAATCAAATTTCAGTTAGTGATCAGTACAAGAAACAAAATAATATGAGTTTGTCAATTGGGACTTCTCTGAGGAAGGGGCTTCAGCCAGTGAGTCTGGAGCCCAGCAAGGGGGAGATCGGTGGAAGGAGACAGTAGGATGGAGATATTGGCAGAGACTAGACTGCACAGGCCTGGTGGGCTTGGAGGAATGTTTGCGTTTTACTCAATCTAAATCCAGAGTTAGCCAACTGTGGCCTTTGCGCCAAATCTGGCCCATCACCTTTTTTTATAAATAAAGTTTTATTGGAACATAGTCATGCCCGTCCTTTACGCATTGCCATGATTACCTTACGACTCCAGCTGTGTTTTGTTCTGTTGTACTAGGGTCACTCTGAGTCAGAACTGACTCAACAGTGCCTAACAACAGCAACAACAACTAACCTGAAAGGCTGGTGACTGAAACCCATCCAGTTGCACTGCAGAAAAAAGGCCTGGCAATCAGCTTCTAAAAGGATTACAGCCAAAGACAAGCCTACGGTGCAGCTCTCCTCTGTCATACATGGGTTAGAATCTACTCATGAGCAATGGGTAAAGATCCTGGGAGTGATGGGCACGGGGAGAAGCCATCCAGGAATTTTACCAAACTCTAAATATTGGAATTCCACTTTTGCCTTGAAGTTTGGAAAGTTATTGAATAATAATAATAAAGTCTCCCCTTACAGGCAGTAGGGGCCTGATATGGTGCTGTAGGATAAGCACTGGTTGGCAGTTCAGACCTATCAGTCCCTCTTTGGAAACCCTATACAGGGTCACTATGAGTCGGAACTGACTCAGTGGTACGTAACAGTAGCACTGGACTGTTAACCACAAGGTTGGCAGTTCAAACCCTATCAGTCCCTCTTTAGAAACCCTATACA